CCTAAACCCTAAACCCTAACTTAGTTTAAGTTCCTTAACAGCAACCCAGCCAAAGGGCCAACTACAGCTCCAAGCCCTCAAAGGGACTCAGCCGGATCCGTCTTCCAAGGTTTGATTCCGAGGAGTCCATGATCCGGGTTGTGGCGGCCTCAGTTTAAACCCTAAACCTTGAATTAGTTTGTGGTTTAGGCCTTTAGGGTTTAGAGAGAGAGGGTTTAGGGTTATGGGTTTAGGGTTTAGGGTATGTTGTTTTCCATTATCCCAATATAACCCGAATATAACCTATTAACTTCCAAAAAATTCCCTGGAGTCGAAAAAGTATCTTATTTTCATTATCCCAATATAACCCGAATATATCCTATTACCTCCCAAAAAATTTCCTTCAATCAAAAAAGATCTAGGGAGCCTAGGTTACTATTGGGTGAGGGAACCTACTTATAAAGGGTATACAATGGGGTTACAATGGCTTATGACGGGCCTACTTATTACCGAGCTCGGAGGTCCCTTAAGGTAGGACCTGGGGTTCACATGTAAAGGGCTTATAGTCCCCCTGAAGGAGATAGAATCTGACTCTGGGTGGGGTATAGTATAATCAGATCCCCATATGCCCTATATTCTATCTACTTAAGGGAGACTATAGGTTTAGGGCTTACGCAGGATTTTGGGCTTATCTGGGGTTTAGGGCTTAGGGCCTGTCTACTTTAGGGTTTCAGGTTTTTTGGGCTTAGGCTTTAGGGTTCGCACGGGGCCTTTGGGCTTTTGATCTTGGGTTTAAGCAAGTCTTGAATCAAGGAAGTACTTGACATGACGTAATTAGTCCTGCCTGAAATACTTGGAGTAAAAGGAGAGGTGATGCTTGATTAAGCTGGCTGCCTACTTGAACCTATAGGGCCTTATGCAGGAAGACCACCGAACGCATGACAACGTCATGGCCTACGATCCTGCGCAGTCGCAGTTTTCAATCGTATGAAGGAAGGTTTCGTAAAATGCGCCAGGATCCAAAACAAGTCTAGGGATCCAAATAGCCCAATGTAGGTAATATTTACAGACTTTGGGGCCCAATGTAGGTATTGTTTGTATACTTGGATCCCCAGGGCAAGTCTTAAGGAGTGCTCCTAAGTCGTACAAACCGTAACCCTAATGGCGCTCTGAGCTTCTGGGACTTTACACAACAAAAGGCTACAAGAATCAACTCCCAAAACCGAGCTCCCGAAAGTCTCCTGAAAGCCCGATGGCGGAGCTAAAGGCAAGCTTCACACTCCTATGATGCTACTGCAGGTGGAGGAAATCTGGCACCACCTAGACTAGAAGCCTCGAACTACTGTGGTCACCTTGTAGGGTAGGGATTCTAAGGGTAAAAAAGTTGCATTTAGGAAGGTATACATGCGCCCCAAAACCCAGCGCTGGCACGGGATTTCACGAGGCTCAGTTAGATGCCCCAGGCCTTGTGATTGCAGCTGCGTGCATGATGGTTTGCCTCCTCTTCTTCTTCCCAAGGACATGTCCGAATATATGGAGAAGTTTGCCGTCTCGCGGCTGACGGGCGCCCCACCGGGCTATGTCGGCTACGAGGTGCCTATTTGGAGGGGGGAATTGACGCATGTCCCTCTGGTCTCTAGCAGTGTCCCCTAGCAGTCCAAATAGCCCAGAGTAGGTGATATTTGTAGACTTTAGGGTCGAATGAGGCTTCTTTACTTGGATGTGCAGGCCAGGAGATACCACAAGGTGACTCACGGCTGAAGAGTTTGCAACAAAAGTCTTCCAAATTTGGAACTATTACTTTAAGGGAGTTTATGGCTGGTAGACGGGTCAAAGCCTCATGGCCTTTTAGCATGCACTTCCCAAGACAGCAGCCCTCTTTGAAGACCAACAAGAAGTTCTTTAGTGAGCAGGTTTCGCACTTTAGAATGCAGGGTATCCCATGGGAAATCTAAGCCCCAAAAGATCCACTGAGCGCCATTTGATTCCAAACTTGCGCATGCACATATACAAAGGTCCTCGCGGTCCTCCCAAATCATCCCGCAATGCCAACTTGGAAGCTCTAGAAAAGTCTCATACATGTTATCAGCACGCAAACCCAATATAGCAGTATAGCACAAAACAAGTTTAGGCTAGAGAACCTCAACAGGGGCCGAGGAAGTGAAACTCCTAAGCCTCACGCCCTTTGTAGATAGACCACGAAACCCAACCCTCAAATCCATTAACTGCCCCAACCCCTGAACCAGCAAAACGCCCCGACCCTTAAACAGGAGGGCGGCCAGCTGACGGAGCCAGTGCGGCGACGGCCCTACTGCGTGCTGCTCTTCGACGAGATGGAGCTCCTGGGACATGAAGAAAAGAAGAGGGATCACATTAAGGTTATGCCAGGGGCAACTGAATTTTCTGCTTGTTCTTTCCTTCAGCTACAGTCGGCTTGAGTCTAGATTAGACCTTGTGCAAATGAGTTGGTTGAATCTCGCAGGATCTCAGTTCATGTATTGCTGTACCTCCACGTTGACATCAGTTCACATGCTTTGTCAGTGCCTGCATCATGCAAAAAGTATGTGGGCCTACGTGGTTTAAACACAGTGAAACCCACACCACCCAGAATATCCACAGAGTCTCCATAAAGTTGCTTGCAGATTTCCCTGCACAAATCAGGGTTTCAGGTTTAGGGACTCTTTTTCATTATCGACCGCAAAAAATTTCAGCCAACAGCTGAGGAAGGCTCATCCTGATGCTACTTGGAAGAATACCAGCGGCGTGAGTTATCAGAATAGCCGTGGGCCCCAAACCCTAAACCCTAGTGTCTTAGCCTGCCCTTTCAAACATGTTCCATGACAGCAATTCAGAATATCGGTAGCAGAACTACGCAGGACCTCCCATCTAGTTCCCTTTGGGTTTAGGGCTTAGGGGCTGTAATCCCCCCAAAACCGTAAGTAGCCCAAAGAGGAACTACATGGGAGCCCTGGGGTAATCTCAATATTTTAGGGTTTAATTTGTTGGTTTAGCGCTTAGGGTTTTAGGGCTTGTCAGACTCAACGTGCCATAGGAGCCACGAAGAACTCGAATGCGAGCACGCCTGCCTTCGACCTTCTGGCCATTAAATCCTAAGTTTGCCCCTGTAAGCCCTAAACATCATTACTACTACTACGACGACGACGACGAAGACGACGGCTACTACTACTACTACTACTACTACGACCACCACTACTACTACTACTACTACTACTCCCGTTATTCTTACTATTCTTGCTATCCTTACTATAGTTGCTGTTATTACTGTTAGCCCTAAACAAGAAATTTCAGGTCTTCAACCTCTTGCTCCAGATCTTGGACGACGGCCGCTGCACCGACTCGCAGGGCCGCACCGTGGATTTCAAGAACACAGCCTTGTGTCTGCATTTGAGCTATATAGTCTAAAATCTCAAAGAGGGTTATATAGGGGATTAATACAGGGGAGTATTATAGGGGTTATGAAGGGGGATACTAGGAGCTCAGAGGGTTTGTAGGGTTTATAGTTTATTGGGTTTAGGGTGAAGGGTGTTGTAGAGTTTTGGTTTTGGGGTGTATTGTAGTTACAGGGTGCATGTGTATAGGGTATTCAGGATTTGGGGTACAGGCTTGGTACAGACAGCCCGTCTGTACTCAGCACAAGCTTAGGCGAGCGTTTTCTTAGGTCGCAAAGTCAGGCATCTCACTTTGAAAGGATACAGGGTCGCTGCTCTGAGCAGGTGAAGTATCTTGCGGAAGTATACCTGACCATGTCACAATATGAGCAGAAAGTAGAGGGCCGTAACTACCCCAGGCCGAATCCAGGCGTGTGCACAGCAATCACCAAAGCCGAGCCCAGAAGCATGAAAGCTAGTACTATTACTACTACTGTTTCTATTACTATTACTACTATTATTATCATGATTACTATTACTGTTACTACTACTATATCAATATTAGTCTATTACTTGCTATATAGTCTTGTTTGCAGGATATTGCAAGCAGATGTGGCCTAAACATTCCTCCAAAAGTTCTTTTAACGCATCCAGAAGCGGGGCAATTTAAAGCGACCTCACCTGACCTCACCCTAAATCCCACCCTAAATGGTGGTTTGCATAGGGAACAGTACCAAAATGGCCTTAAATTGGGAGCAGGAGGCGTGTTTTTAATTTTATTCTGTTGCCCTTGGCAGCTCGCAAAGAGCAGTTGAGAGAGACCTATAGCTGGAATTTCACTGCCGTGGCCGGCCTACCTCTGGACAGATGTATGTAAAAATCTTTATGTAACCATATATATATATGTATAGATAGATACCCCTATAAGTATATATATATATATACCAAATATCCCTATATAACCCTATGTATCCCTATAACCCTATGTATCCCCATATAAGCCTAGGTGTCCTTATATGAGCCTATCTATCCCTATAAACCCTATATATCCCTCCGCAGGTCATCATCATGACGTCCAACGTCGGCAGCGATGCAATTGCTGAGCTAGGCGTCCTAAGCTCAGCTACCGAGCAGATGGCACCTAGATGTTAGGTGGACCCCCCACCCAGTAATAGTGACTATAAGGGATAATAGGGATTATATTAGGGTCCTCTTATATTCTTATTATACCACTATTGCGGTGGGGGGGTCCTCCTAACCTAGATGTGCTTACTGGTTCTTATGGTTTAGGGGGATAGGAGGGAATAAGAGAATACTCCAGAGGTATTAAATAGGGATAATGTTCGCTTATTCCCTACTAGGAGCCCGTAAGTGTGGAGCATCTCAAGATGGTTGGCTTCTTCTTTGAAGCGAATTATCTACAGGCACAATCTTCGGGGATAGAAGACAATAATCAGAGGAGTTTTGAGGGCTTCACTAGCACACGGATTACATCCGTCTGTGAGCGCTTTCTGGGTCGAGACAGCATATGCCTCACAGCCTGTGGGATTTGACCTACCTTGAGCGTTGTCTATACAATCACTCAAATGGCACCTGCCACAGGCAGCTGGGAAAGGGGGACCTGGGAATCTGGCCTCGCCAGAGTTCTCTCCCTGCTCAGTCGCAGAGGAGTGGTGAGTGTAGCGGTTTACAATGCGGGCATACGTGCAGCGCACTGGTTCTACAAGTTCCGCGAGCGAGCATGGAACCCTGCAAAAAGGCCCAGAAGAGTG